CTGCCTGGGACCTGATTGGTACACTCGCCCACCTACAGACGGATGAAATTGATGCTTTGTGTCTGTCCGGCATGTTTAAATGTGTGCATCGTAACACGTACAGAGCAGCCTCATGACGCTCGCTTGGGTAAGGGTGAAGAGCACACTGAAACTAAATCAGAATGAGTGGTTCATTAAGAAACTATGAAAATATTAAGGAATTTTGTTTTTAAATCTCCTTTAAATGTAACCTTTAAGCTTTTATAGAAATAGTATGTCACTCATTTTTGTTTCTGAAAGAGCCTGTTGAGACTGAGTCGTTCTGTTAAACTTTAAAAGTACCAAAAGCTTGTGGTGTTTTTTGGTTTTCACATCGAATTGCCAATTTTTTTTAAACTGAAAATTAATTTGTTTCCTTGTCACAAAGAATGTCTGTCCTCAAACAAAGTGAAATGAAACTGTTGTGTATTCTGGTGAAATATGCTGCTGATAACCACATTAGAGTGGACAAACAAACACATGCAGTGAAACCCCATTTTGACATTTTCTCTAAGTGCACAAAATATTTGCACAAAATATTTAAAGAATTAGACTGTCACTTAATTTTCTTCAGAAACCCTAAGCATTCACATAGTTTTTTTTTTCCCATTTTCCTGCAACAATGAGTTCATCTCAGTTGTTTTCTTGAGATTGAAGTGTCTGATGTAACCAGGACAAAGATAATATAAGTTTACAATGGGCGCATCAGGAGGTAGTATCTGAAGGAAATTTAGGAGTCCCCTCAGGGGGAATGTTTACAATGAGGTGTTGTATAGGAGTATTGCAATATATGGTTGTGCAACATGATGTTTTTGTGACCCATGACGAAAAGCGGATGTTTGGATGCATATAAGCAATTGTCTCTGTGTGTTCGAGAGAGATCATTATTGGCTTCTTGATCCTCCTGGTCAGACGTGACCAGTGATTCTGTTTCTTGCTTAAATAAAATTATACTCTTTGAAAGCAAGTCAGTCTCAACGGCGAATTTCTTCATCATCAAACATATCAACAACAAGGAAATCCACATCAAGATCTCAGCCTATGGGTTGTTGGCTCTGTATTTAGGGACTTGGGTTGGGTCGCTGGTTCAAGCCCCACTGTGGACCAAGTCTGGTAATTGGGCTGGTTGCTGTTGAGGTCCCGATCACTCCTTGTGCACGGCTGAGGTGCCCTTGAGCAAGGAAACAACCTCCCAGTTGCTCATATGCTCTTTTGTGTGCAGTCATCCCTCATCCCCTCATTAGTGCACATCTATAGGATCCTGTTTTTCGCGCGAGTGTGTTCTTGAACATGTTACACACACCGAAACACACAAAGTGAAAAAAAGATTTTTCCCTTGTGGGTTAATAAAGTTTATCCTCTTCACTGCAAATCATACATTTAGAAACCTAACCTGTTTACATGCTATATTCAGAATAAACAAAGCTGCTTCAGAAGTCGTTCCAAAGCAAGAAATCTCCACTAAATGTTTAATATTCCAGCGTAATAACGCACAGCACGGACCTACAATCATATCCAATAATATTTCTAATATGTAAAGTAATTTACCCCCAAAGAAATAACGCCTTATTGCTGCACCTGGTTCTGATATTTACTGGCTTTGATTTGTATGTTGAAGAAGCGTATTTTGCTTTTTATGGTTTATGCTGAGCCCGGTGTTTGCAATAAATGGCAGGTGTGCAAAATTGAAGTGCAAAAGTAATTCAGCTCCTGCCATTCAAAGGAGCTATGTCAGTTTGATTTACCTGTACACATAAACATGCACACACACACACACACACACACACACACACACACACACACACACGCACACACACACACACACACACACACACACACACACGCACACACACACACACACCTCTGGGCCACATGTGTTTTTTATATTCATATGGTGAGGGAAAGAAAAAAAATGTGCGCCTCCAAAATGGAGGTTGAAGGGTCATGGTGTTTGGCCAGGAGTGACAGCTCCAAAATGAAGGCATAAGTCAATCGGCTACTCTTCATACGCACACACACACACACACACACACACATAGGCTTGGACAGGAGGAGGGATGGCGGTGGGCGGTCAGGATTGAGGAGGGGATCAGGGGGTTGGGGTTGGGGGAGGTAGATGGAGGAGGGGAGGATAGGTGTAAGGGGCACAAGGTTACCATGTGGGGGGAGTGCGGTTGTGAATATGTGTGTGTGTGTGTGTGTGTGTGTGTGTGTGTGCGTGTCTATCTATGTGTGTTAATAGCATGAAGGAGGGAACTTGACATCATGTAGCAAAGTATGAATGTTGTTGTCCATGTTTCTATCATCTTTATCTGAATGACATCACAAAGAGCAAACAGCAGCTACATAAATTAACTAAAATTTGAACAACACACACAAACACACACACATGCACACACACACACACACTCTTTGAAACACCTTGAACCCAAAGGTCAAAGACCATGTGTGTTCTCTCTCTCTCTCTCTATGTCTCCCCCCCACACACACACAAACACACACTGGGTCATGGTGTTTGTTTGCTTTGTGTCACGCACTGAGCAGGCCTGTATCAACATTTGGGTTTCATCCCAGCATGCGCTCAGGGAGAACCCCACTTTGTTTTAATTCATTGATTGATTCGAGGTATTGATTAGCACACGTGCCTTTTTCCCCTCATTGAAACAAAGTGCTCTCTGAAAAGAGAAACGTATGAAAGTGGGTGCTAGAATTGTTTATACTGAATGAGCCGTGCTGGAGGGTTTTATTTAGTGCGATATGCAATATGAAAAGACTTTCTGTGAATGGATGGGCAAATACAATCTAAAGAGTGGCTCACAAATTTCAACACAGTCAATTCAACAAATTCACTCATGGCTGCCATTTTCTCTAATGTCCCAGTTGTGAGCTCAAACGTTGTCATAGTGACCAACTGCTGAGCTACATGTTTACAAGTCACATGGCCTCAGGTTTTCTGAGAAACTCTTGTCATTTTACAGCTTCCCGACTGATCTGCAACTGTTTGACTTTTCTTTTTTTTTTAGGTCAGGAGGGACATGGGCAGGTCAGCATATCTAAAAATCCTACAAATGTGGATGTCCTGTGCTCAGCACTGTCAGTCCTTATAGCTTGGTGCAGTTGATGGCAGGAAACATCGTCTTGGCAGCAGACGAGAAGATTCACCACACACAAGATCACTGAATTACTTATTATTATTATTTTATTAAATACTCAGACAAACAATGAGTTTCGGCTTCATCAGGTTTATCAATATCTGAAAATCCATCAGTTACCAACAGCTAACCATAATGTTAAAACTCAGACGACCCATCGGCGGGTCAGATGGGGTTTTCTCACTATCTCATTATTTACACAACTGGTGTTTATATGACACCACAGCAGCCACAATCTACGCATCTGTCCGACCACCAACAAACAGACAACGAGTCTTAGCACATTTTGACTTACCATTTGAAGGTTTGCTGTTGCCTACTCTCCTTATCATCATTTTCCAAAGAAAAGAGTCCTCCAGATTTACCACCACTGTTCCCAATATCCCACTGTATTTTCTTTAACATTTCATGTTTAGGAATGAATGTTTACAATTGATGTACAACAAAATGGCTGCCGCACTTTGACCTTTTGATTGACACCTAATTTGGCCAATTTTGGCTTCCATTCACTATTCCCAGCTTATAATAGCCAATGAGAGCCCGAGTTGAAAGGAGGTGTCTGCCTCTATTCTGATGTATCTACTTCCCAGCCAATTGCAAATGACACATGCAGATGACTGTCGTATTGTAACCAGTGAAATTCTGAAACATGGACACGTTGCTTCATCATTAACTCAGGTTGATTTCTTTATGCACACACCACGGAGATTGATTCCACGTATGAATTAATTTCAGAATATTAAAAAAAGTATTTAAGTTATACCAAGATGGGCTTTGAGTCATGATTTATTTTGCAAAAACAGACAAATGTATTTTAAGTTAGATATTGAGCACCCCAATAAAACTGGAATGGAATGATCCTTGTTTCATAAGCAGGGGTTCGCCTGTGCGATTGGCACTTGAACGAGGCTCTTTCAATTTGAGGCCACCCCTATACGTTAGCTAATGGTGATGTAATGTAGAAATATGTTAAATGAGTTCATAATTAAAAACTATCTAAGTAACAGTACTGTTGGATTTAACAAGACAACAAAATGGGAACAGCATCACTTACAGTAACGTAAGCTAGCTAACAGCGATGCTAGCTAGAATTGGTTCAGTGCAAATTAGCGCTCTTACTACAGAATTGGTTTACTATCAAGTTGCTAATCACATTGAAAAAAGGTTAAATAAATTATTTAACGAAGTAAAGATAATTCCTTTGATGTTTATTTTTAAGACTTGTTATATCTGAAACTTATGAGTGATACTAAAAAACAGTTGAACTGGAAATCTTTATTAAGTCTTTATTACGTTGTTTTCAATTGAGAACCTTTAAGTTTTTGTTCACATTTAAACCAAAATGTATGACATATTATTTCAGTAAATGTCAAAAAGTGAGACATAAACTACACAATAATATGTTGTACTTGATTAAAGTTATGCAGACAGCAGCATAGGTTAGTCAATAATCAAGGTTAAATACTCCCTGATTTGAGCATATTGTTTAACATCTGTAAATCTTCATGTATGTACTATGTACACTGTGTAAGTTACTAACCAAATATTTCCCTCTTTCCCATTTTTCAACCCCAGTGCAGTTTCGGCAGATGGCTGTTCATCATGACCCTGGTTTGGCCAAAGATTTCTGACTTTTTTTCTTGCCACTGTAACTTTGCTAAATGTTGCCAAGTGCTGTGCTCATGACTTTGCTTTCTTGTAAAGTGTCTTGAGATAAGACATTTCATTATTGGCGCTATACAAAAAAAGATTGATTGATTGACATTTAGATATTTCTTAATTTTGAGAATTATTACAGATAAGACAACAGGAAACTTGCTGTGAACAACATAATTTTATTTCATTTAATGGATAATCCATATTGCCAAACAAAAGAAGAGGGGATAAAAACAAACTTGTAGAAACTTTCTGTGAATTCATGTATCAACAGACAGATTTCTAAGGTCCCAGATGGCTTTACCAATATCAATACATGATACAACTGAGCCGTGTTGGAAATGTGAGACAGTCATCAAAACAAACCTGCTCCCACCAATGGAAAGCAAAAAAAAAAAAATTAAAATAGTCCTAAACTAAGTCACAGTCATAAGTCCAACTGGGATTATATTGTAATAATTGTAACATAGACTGAGGTTTCAGAGGTTAGTGATACTTTTCATCTACGGTATCGGTACGATAAGCTCAAATGACATGAGTCGATGGGGATTTCCCTACGTGACATATCATCAGGAAGTGGAAAAGAACTCGCAGGAGGTCCAAAAAATGAAAGTGCTAAAGATTTAAGAACAGAAATGTCTGCTAATGCATAAGAATGATCTGTATGCTGGCTCCCTTTTCCATGATAAATGATCTTTTTTTTTTTTTACATCACATGAGTTCATTTCCACTCCTGACAGGACATAATACCTGTTATAACAGGTAACGAGAGATTATGGCACAGTCATAAGATAAATGCTCAGTGACAAAATCTTTGTTCTAAGGCAAGTACAGCTAATTTTGTAAAATGTGACCCCCCTCCCCCCCAAAAAATGTTTCCTTAACAATGACAATCATGACTATATAACAAAAATTAGGATTGTTGTGTCACTCCTGTGATAAAGTGGGCCTTTCCGATAAGGAAAAAAGGGAAGATCAATCAAATGGCATGACGGTAGCAACGAGCTTCCAGTGCTGTGATCGTACAGGAGTGAATAAGTGTAGGCCTGACTAGTTAACATTGCAAGTGCCTGTAAGCTTTTATTTGTACTTTTCTTTTACAAACTCCTTCTCTCCCCCTGAGACCCTACAAACAAGTATATAGTCAAATTTTAGACAAACCAAACATTAAATTGTAATCACCAACACTCCCACAAAAATATCCAAACAGTATGCATATTTCAGCTTTGGCACAGTTTGCTGATAAGTGTAAATTTAGCTGGGTTTGAATTTGTAACGCTTGTTCTGATATTGGCATGTCTGTCAGTCTGTCTCCCCACCCCTTTGAACCTGAGCTTTTCCCACTGAACCCTAATATGCTATAGATGCCTATGAATCAACGATATACTGTACATATGGACACAATCATGAGTTTACTCTCCATATAAACAGTGCTAATACAAACACACACATTAAAACATGTCCTCTGTAAAAGTCCAAGACATTTTGGCATTTGTCTTTTTTTTTTTCTTAATGGCTTCTGGCTTTCTTTTCAAAAATTAGTGAATGAACTTCAGGCCTTGTGCTCCTGGTTGTAGAGTCCCGTTGGCAAAGCCCTTGCTCGGTATTTGCAATACTGTGACGCTTACACACAGCCACTGTAAAAGTAGGCATAGCACCAACAATAATGCAAAATGTTTGTCTTTTGCTGGCCCTGTTTATATGAGGTTTGAGACTGACATCTGAAGAGAGTCCAACAGGGCTGCTGGTGAACTGCGCAATAACCCGTTCTACCAACCGGTCCAGCTCGTGCCACATCTCAAATGTAGACCTGCACCATCGGCTGAGGGACGGCAACAGGCCACCGAGTCTCTTCAGTGGCCGTGGTGACTGATTGGCTGTTTTTTTTTTTTTTTTTTCTCCGGGACGGCAACTGATTACGTTGTCAGTGGAATGGTGAGGGAGATGCTTCCTCTGAAAAAGTTAAACTCAGAAAATTGAAGGAAGTGAAGGGTGTATGAAAAGGACGTTCAGCCCGGATTTCTTTCGGCAGCTTCCTCTTTGTCCGCCTCTGCTCCTCAGGGCCCATTCTCGTTGTAGTGGAGGGAAATGGGTCGCTCGCGCTGCACAGTGGGCATGTAGGGCCAGTTGTAGCTTGATCCAGACAGAAGCATGTCGCGTAGTAGTGTCTCGATGGGCGTCTTGCCAACCAGGCGGACGAAAAACAGCTGCTCGATGACTGGGGAGGAGACGATGCGAAGGGATGGCAGGCGGAGGAGGAGACGGCCAAAGCGGTTTGGCTGGCTGGGATACTGGTTCCTTACATACTCCTCCAGAGCACACTGGGACTTCTCCTGGATGCTCTCCACGTGGGCGACGTCTGAGAGACCCATGGCATCTAGAAGGAAGGAGAGAATATAAAGATTAATGGTGAATTCCATTTACCTGCAAGGAATGTAATGGCATCTAATACGAGCAAAAAACTATCGTCTCCATGAAGCGATGGAGATGCAAACGAGAGAGACTGGACATATGAATGCTTGAAGCAACACTAACATTTCTGTCCATCAAGACGTTTCTCAACAACAAATGTTACAACGTGCAGAAAAGATGTCAAACTTGAAAGTTGTATTCAGCTTCAACACATTAAATGGGACTCAAAATGAATGTCTGTGTTCGTTTTTGTTTCATATGAACAGTTATTAGGCTTGTGTTGTGATTTCTAATAACTGAGTCTTTATGTTGCAACAGGAATTTTAAAATACAGAAATTCTATTTTTCAGACTGAAATTTTGTGGCTGTATCCTGAGCTCACATTGCACCAGCGCATAGTTCAAATATAATCTGGTTGTTTGATACCAACACATGGAAAAGATGACACAGATGGGTAATAAAAAATGTAAGATGAGCTGACAGATTTCTATTCCTTTCATAGTCCTGAAGCCAGAGAAATGTTGCTCAAACTTCAGGAAATGGAGTTTTTCACTGCAAAGCTACACATCATCTACACCCCTGTGGTCTGTGTTCACAGCACACTACAGTGTTCCCTTTTCCCAGCAGCTGGAGGTCATGTTCTGCCTCCCACCTCCTCCTCCACACACTTCCCCTCCTGCCACCCCCCACCCACCTGCCCTCCCACACCTTGGCAAGAGTCTCGCACAGCCGAGAGAGCGTGTAACACAGCGCGCTGTACTTTTTCGCACCCTCTGTGTGCAGGGAGAGCACGGGGGATTTAGCAAAGGAGGTCAGAAATGTGTGAACTCAAAACAAAGAAACACTTTACCGTACTGTGCCGCATACTGTACATTCAGAGGGAGGGCTCTCAGACTCTGCCCCCTGTGTGAACCTTCATTTAGAAGAAAGGTTTTGACGAGGGCAATTTCTCCTCCGCCTGTTCTTTGAGGCTAAAAGCACAGGCCCGTAGTTTTTAACCTGTCACCTTGCCTTGAAGGTCCCCTCTGTCATCTCGCACTTTGATCTGTCCCCTGTGTAAACCCTGCCCTGCTGAGCTTCAGTCCCGCACCGCAAAAAAAAAAAAAGAAATTACTTCATATTTTAATCGAGTGTGTCAACCCCTCCCCACCCTCAGCGGCCACTATTCTCATCATTCTAAGTGAATAATTGCTCCCGCTTCAGCTGCACTTCCCTCCACTCAGGGGGCAGATGGACGGCTTTTTTCGCCGGGTCGCCATTTTGGGTCCTGCGTGACAAGGCAGTCTGTGCCTGTTTGGGATTAGCAAAGCTGTCTATGTGACTGAAACCACTTCGCGTGCCGAAGCGACAGCTCTGTGGGCGCCCTTCCACGCCAAGCGCCATGTTCTTTTGTCTGATCCTTGGGCACACACCAGGTCAGTTAGGGTGAGGGATCAGGGTGGCAGCACTGAGATGCCCGTCCTCTGATGCAGCGTGATGGGACTGGGCTTCACGGGGGGAGCGGAGGGAGAGAACTCAGAGGGAGGTTAGAGATGATTGGTGATTGTCCAAGCTTGTTAGCTCACCCTACCAGGTCTGTTGGAGTCAGGTTTATTAATCTATCTAGTGTGTGGGTGTGTGCATGTCCGCACCCATTAAATTCAAATTTTAATACCTACACGTTCCACTAACTGTATTGTCTTCTGTTGGCGAGACATGCGCAGTTCTGCACATGTGGGTACATCTGCCCGAATACAGGGAAGTCACATGGAATGCTCAGGGCTACAGGGGTTATGTAGGTCACGGCCGGGGCTGTGGCAAATCCTGCATCTCACTGGAACCCCAGCATACATAATTCAACTCCCGCGGTGGGGGCAGGGGTCTCGGGGCCTGGGCAAGGCTTGGGGTTGGGTTTGGGGAGCGTAGGGAGGAGGGGTGGATGACTGGTTTCAATAATAGATGGGATCATGAAGGAGAGATGGCTGATGAAAGCCAGGGAGAGAGAGGAGGGAGATGGCTCCACAGCCACACACATTCAAGAATTAGAGTCGCAAGGTGCACGTAGAGTGAATCTGACAAGCCGTGCGAGGGAAAGAAGAGGGAAATGCAATGAAAAACAAGGACAAGAGACATCTCAGTGTTGGCTTCTTCACAATCCGTTTCCCCTTGGGTCACAAAGCATGATCTCTCAGTGAAGTATCCCACAAGTGACAGTATTTTGGCTGGCAATGGAGCCCAGTGACTGTTGAGATAAACCTCAATGGGGTTTGGATGAAAACAGTATCAAAACAATGCCTATCTCATGGGTTTTCCAAGATGTAAAACAGTTACATTTGGATTTTATTTGTCTGCAGTCAGTGGGGAGAACATTGCAAAACAAGGTGAGGGTGTATACGGAAGTCCCCTGTGCTTTTTATAGAGATTTAGATGATAGAAGTCACAAATAGACACATCTATGTGAGCATGAGGGCATGTTCTTTGTCCCAAAGGGAAAAAAAGGGTGGCTTAATTCAGGTAAGGTTGAGAAATAACTATAAAAATAAATGATTAAAGCATGAAATATTCCATGGAAGCAATTTTAAGTGATCATTTTTAAGATGTAGTGAACAAATGTATTAACGACTTCAGGACGATTTTGTGTATCTAGATAAATATGGCATCCATCTTTGTTTAAAAATATAGTTTGGCAAGAGACAAACAAAAAATAAATGCTTTAGGTAAGAGCTTAAAAAATATTTAGGTGAGGCTTGAGCTGCTTTACACAAAGGATGAAACTGCAGCTACCCTTCACTGTATGAGAGCGATCAAATTTCAGTCGAATTCATGGAGGCAGAGACCATGACTGACTGTAGCCTCAACATTTACATATGGAGCCAATGAGACAATATCTGCTGCAGCGTTAGAGGTCACGTCTCGGTCAGGCTAAGTGGAGGTGAAAAGGTTGTGGGTTAAGTACAGTTGAAGCCTGCTTCATTTGTCTGTGAGATCAAACTGGATTCCAACAGAGCAGAAAGAGAAAAAAAAAATGTTCCATGGTGTTAAGACCTTCTGAGAAACTTTTTTTTCTTGGTGGTTAAATCAGCCATGAAAAAGATTTTTTTTTATTTCAGTCAATCAGCCATTTTTGTAACAGAAAAGAATGAATGCTTGCAAAACCTCATGCCGTCTTTCTCAGTGAGCTTATCCCGGTAATCAGCTAGCTTTTTAGACATTAATGTGCATCACCGCTATCAACAGCAGTGATTTTCCTCTGAGGTCACGCTCAGGTTGGGAAGCCCAAATGCTTGAATTAATGTCATCAAAACATCTCGTGTCTTATAAATCATTATCACCCTGCTCGTTTGATCAACAACTGAAAAGATATTGAAAAGACATCAAAATAAAACACATCTAATGAGTCATTAAGTTTCAACTGCTAGGCTAAGTCTTTAAAGCTAGCACTAGAAATTCCTTGATAATCTTTCCATTAGCTGGGTTAATATCTATGGTTAGTTTACAGCCACTTTAGCTGACAATTTAAGAGTTAGCTAGAAACAGGCTAAAAGCTTATATTACTGGTTTAAAATCCTAGCTCTTGTAGTTTTAGCTTGTAAGTGGTGTGGCTGCTGCATTCATACATTTTCTTTTGTTTGTTCAAACACAATGAAGAATCATATTTATCACAACTTTGGTCATGTTTAGATAACCCTCCGATTGGCCATCTCTCTAACTCAGGTTAATCTGTTTACATGTGCTTTGATACCCTGCGATTTAGTCGACCTGTACACACGAATAAACAAATTACCACAGTGTTCCTTTGCCAACAGACGTCAGATCAGCTGCCTGTTAAGTCCTCCTTTTCTACCCGAGCAATGGTTAAGTTACTCACAAGATCGAGGTGATGTTTACGTTTACATCAGATTCTACCCATAATCCTCCTTGAGTCTGAGTCTGAGTAGAGGGGAAAGTTTAAAGTAAGGGGACCATTAATAACGTGTATATGTTGAATATTTTTCAGTCAGCTGAAGTAAAATCAACCCAATTCAATCTAAAAAAAAATAACTGATATTTGTTTTTTGGGAGGAACTCTAATCGATTAATCATACTAAGATTTGACAATAAAGTTATTGTTTATATTTAGTTTACTTTCAGCAAGCATTTTCTCTAATAATAATGCTCTTAACGGTTTTCTCTGATTGTCTTTGAAAGCATAGGCTGTGTCAGGAACCATTTCCGATGCTGGACTTATTGTGCGTTATCATGATTTCTTTTACCTAGATCGTAACTTTAAACTTCACTTTACTAATCAAACGTTCAGTCAGTCATTGTGTCGATCCATGAGTAAACTTGAAAATGGTGCCGTTGTCTCTAGGAGTGAAATGATTGACAGCCTCACTGGAAGCTGGATAAGTTTGCTTGGGATGAAAGAACACAAACAGTGGTACAGTATGAATAGGCTTGCAGCAAAACAACAAGCGCTAATGCGATGGATTTTACATTATTGGGTCATGAACTTGTAATCACGTTGAAACCTTCACTCTATTCCCTGCTAAAAGTTAAATCCTGTTTCAACATTATGTTACTGGCCCATGAAACCGCTTTCATTTCATGCAGTGACTCTCCACAGTTTACTTGTGCTTCTTTGAAACTCACCGGAAGTGAAGAGCACGATGGACTTCAGGCAGGAATATTCGGCTGTGTCGACCTGCAGGGCTTTCAGTTTCTCCACCTGCTCCTGGAAGACGCGGATGTGATCCATGAAGGCCACCACGCGCTCTGCCGACATGGGCGATGCGTGCAGGCCTGCTGCTGCCAGCAGAGGGGCCACGTGGAGCGGCATGGAGCACTGCGCAGCGTTGAGGACGAAGAGCTCGCTCCATGACATACGCAACAGCGCCACCTAGGACACAAATAAGAAAAAGTGTTAATAATGGAAGACACTTACTTCTGGCATCTGTCTGCAGGATATCTAAGAAACAATTGATGTGCGCAGAAGGCCTAGCGTTTAGGTCTCTTCCCATGTATGGAGGCTAAAGTCTTCTAAGTGGGCGACCCGAGTTCGAGTGCAACCTGTGGCTCCTTGACCGCATTTCAATCCCCACTCTCTCTCTCTCTCCCCTGTTTCCTACTCTATCCACTGTCCTATCAAATAAAGGCAAAAAGCCCCAAATTAAATCCTCAATATAAAAACATAAATCTGTCGTACAATGAATCTAATAGAAGTATGTTTTTAAAATGTCATAGCATGTTTAGGAATCATTCAATTGCACTTATAGATGCAGACTTTGGACCCCTTTTGCCCCAAGCAGAAGAGTAATTCATTAGCACGCACAGTAATGAACTGTAAAGTTATCCTGACGATCCAATAATTAAAACTACTTTGGAGCTGGTCAGAATTTGATCACATTATCAGAGAGTAAACGTTAACTTTATGCAGGAAGTGACCGTTATCCATGCATCCCAACAACTGATGATAAATTCAATCTGATGAAACCACAGTTCACTGAAAGGCAGGGTCATAATGAGTTAACATGTAAATAGTAATGCAGTTGTCCTCCAAAATTAATGGACTCATTATTATTAATCGCATTTATCGTGTTCCTTTTGTCCATTTCAGGGCACCGTAGTTAATCCACCGCTGTGTCTTCATGCAACCAGAGCGATGGAATAAAACAACACCAAGGCGCATTTGAATGTCTCTCTGCACTTAAAAAAATAAATAAAATCTCAGGCAGCCATGCTTTCCACCTTTTAAGATCAAACATTTCACTTTTTATTGTTCCCTTAAACTGTTTTAATGTACTTTTCAATATGTAGCGACTTCATTTTCTCACTTTAGATCTACAGGAAGTAACTTATTTTCTTTCAAAATAAAATCTGGTATCTATCCAAACAAGAAGTAAAATAAAATAAGCTTTAGCCAGTACAAAAATACAGAATAAAAGCATGACAAATACTGTTATTTAAATGCAGAATAATGGATTTTAAAAGATGCAATTAAAAATGTGATTAAATCCCTCCTTACTCTTGAAATTAATCACGATTTAAAAAAAATAATAATTGTTTGACAGCCCTATTAATTACTACAAGTTACAAATCATTTTATGCTGGAATTAGTTTGTCTTTCCTGGTTAATCTTTTTAGGATACTTTAAGATTCAGCTGTTGAGTAACAAGCACTCCTTGTGTTGTAACTTCTTGATAGTTTAGTAGTTTAGTCTGTAAAATAAATAGAAAGTCTCTTTATAGAAAGCTAAGAACAAATGGAACAACAAACACAAGACAAGTGTAGTCTGCATGTTGACATGAACCATAATGATATATTCATGATATGGTGCAACTATAGCATGACATATTTGTGATCACTATGTCTGCTCAAGGTGCATGTGAATATTTATAGGTCAGGCGATTACTCCGTGCCAAGACTTTACAGCTGGTATAAATCTACACGCGCAGGATTGCTGTCAGGTCTATTCATATTAAATGTCACGACTGCCTGTTTCTGCCTACAGTGAATAACAACACAAGTGATTTTTTTTAAATGCCAGCTAAGTATCGGTGATTATTCACAAATCAGGAAAAAGAAGACTAAAAAGTGAAGTTTGATTTCTTATTTATAAGCTCAATTATTTTGTAAAGGGCAAACAGAGGATGAGATATCAGAACAAAGCTGCTTGGTGATCGAACATCGTCGCTGTTGGTGTTAGTTTTCTTTAATTTTGATCACGAAATATCTTGTGTGTTTCTACATTTTTAATAGAGTGACCAAATCAGACCAATTACAATTTTCAAAGGCTATATTTATACCCCGGACTCATCTTTTTAGCATTTAGGTGATAAGTCTGTTTTCTTTGTTTTATAAATAAAAACCTTAATATTAACTGAAATACATTTATCCATTTACTTTCAGAATAACTCACTTAATGGACTTGATTATTCTTGTGTCTAAATGCTTACAATGAAGCTACAGGTGACATCTAATTAGCTAGCTTAGCATAAAGACTGGCAACAGTGGGAAACAGCTAGCCTACATAAAGCTATGTACAGAAATGTCTCAAAATCATGTCATCACCATGAGTTTGGACACACACCTAAAAGTTACTGCGCCAAGATGGAAATAGTCCCACCAGAAACCCCTTAATGAATTTTTTAGAAACATTTTTCGAGTATTTTTTTTAAAAAAAGAAGAAAAAATGTGACAATTTTTGTGCCTTAAGAAGTGTTGGTAGGATTATCTCTTACACCTTTAGAAAGAGCCACACTGAGGTTTCCCCATTTTTCAAGTTGCTGTGCTAAGCTAAACAAATGATCTGTTGCATGTAGTTTCATAATTAGAACATAAACAAGAGTGTTTTCAACTTCGTCAACTAATTCTCTGCAAGAAAGTGTGAAAGGCTGAAACACTTAATGCTAAGCTACGCTAAGCGACTGCGAGGAAACTCCCGGTGAGGAAGTATAAAAGCATAATCTCAAAATATAAACGCTTCTTTATAAGTCAGATATTTCAGTGATATGTCTCGAATCAGTCGTCAAAGTGGCCGCCTCACCTGATCCATGAGCTGCAGGTCGGGGAAGAAAGGGATGTTTTTTGCCCACTCAACAGCGCTGAAGAGCAGCCTCGCCGCCAGCTCACAGATGTTCTCGATGCCCATCAGGTTGTTTCCCTGCATGCACTGGGCCCCGTAACGAGACGTGGGGTACGGCTCGGCACGGGAGCAACAGAGAGATGAAGCCGGACAGGTAGGGCTGGCCGTTGTACGGGTCTGTGCCGTTGGTCAGGTACTGTCCTGGGCTAGTCTGAGAGTTTGATGTGCGTCCTCGTTGTACAGCTGATGAAAAAACAGGACAGAATAAAGATGAGTATACAGTCACAAGAATCTGAACTCCAAAAATCAGTTATGTAACATTTGAGAGTGTTTCTTTTTCTACTGTCTTCACGTGTTTCTTAATCTCAGTCCAGCCGATACTTTTAGGCAGGAGATAAACACCTACTGTCAGGCTGTTGTGATACTTTTAGGATTTAGGAGGATTTGGATAGAGCTAAACCTGGTCTACATCCAAAAGCTGTACATTAAGTGAACAAGTGAAACCTGAAAGCCTGTTGTAGAAAAAGAAGTAGAGAGAAGAGAGAAATTCAAAGAAGAAAGAGTGAAATTGGGCATGTCAAATCTGTCGGGTTGGGGTGGGGGGGGGCATTGCAGAATGGGGTCAAAGGGGGGCGAAAAGTGTGGAGACGGGAACATTTCTCCGACTCTTAAATATGTCAGCGCTCGTCTTTTCAGGGGAGCGTTGGAAAGTGACCGGGCCAAGGCCATTCTGCACCGCTGTTGTGCATCAATGAGTAATGACAAGCAGCAGCTGGTAAAGATATAACACTTCTTCACACCTACATATGTTATGCACACACCACACATGACTACGTACGGGTTACATCTCACCCCTCCCTCTCTCCCTCTGCTGGCAAATGGCTCAGCCTGAGGCGAAAAGGGCACGCAGAGGCCAAGCTCTCGCACACATACACACAAATAACCCCCCCCCCCCCCCCCCCCCCCGAGCAATGATGATGCGGCGAGTGCTCAAAGGCCCATTTGGAAAACACCTGTTCAGTCATCCCCACTGTCTGACTAATAACTCCATCTACTGTTACACAGAGAGAGAGAGAGAGAGGGTGGGGGAGAGAGAGAGAGTGGGGGAGAGAGAGAGAGGGGGCAAGTGAGAGGGAATGAAAATGCAAAGGGGGCCACGTGTGCAGGAGAAAAATGAGGTAAAAGGTTGAAATGGCGAGATAAGGTGGGGAAGGAAAGAGTGAGAGGTGATAAGTCGAAAAAAGGTAGATTGAGGTCGCAGAGCGGAGGGGAAGGGGGAGGAGGGGTGCAGAGTTCAATATATTTGAATGCGGCCTGAGATGGGGCTTCAGATAGAAAGCGGTGGTTTACATAGAGACAGGTGGAGGCAGGAGGGGTGGAAGAAAGAAGGGGCGAGGGAGGGAGAGGGGCTTGGAAAATGCTTTTAAACTCTGCATCACCTGTCACCTCACACACAGCAGCTGTGTCAATTGAACGCAGCATGGCACGTCTGAAAAACGAGAGGTCAAATCACTCAAGAGCGTGATAAAAATGCATTTAATTCTAGCCTGTCCTCCAAGCAGAAAAAAATACCTCCGCACAAAAGGTGTTGACCTCAAAGTACTACTTTTTCCCTGTGAACTTGTGTCAACCCGCATTCCCCCGTAAAAGAATGTGCTCTCCTTCGGCAAACAGCGTGGTCGACGCAGAGGTGTTGCATGTCACAAAGACGACGTTGCACAATGGGACATTCCTCGTCACTCGCACTCCAGAAGGTCTTGCGTTGCTTTGCAAAGGACGGCTGTCAGATTAGCCACACGCGTCTGTCTCTGCAGGATTTCATAAGACAAAGGAAATGAAACCCTGCTTGGAGCAGCAGGGCTGAAGAGAGGGCTGGAGGAGCGCTTCAATTTACACCAGGAGTACCTGGTCAAACATGTTTTTTTTTTTAGTCACCCTGAGGTGCTTGAGTGTGAAGTAAAAGACTAGAGGCTGAAGTATGCAGAGCTGCCGCTGTCAGTCAGATAAGTTATAAAGGTTAGCAGAAAACTCAACAAGACAAAATACATGAACAAGTCTGTTTTTGTCACGGCTCTTTAAAACGATTAAAAGGAGATGTGCCTTACAAAACCATTACATGTCCTTTTTAGTATAGGCATAAGTATAAGCTAATACTGATGGACACTTTACAGAGCAGCCTCTACCATCAGTGTGTGAATGTGTACGTGTGACCTGCAGTGTAAAAACACTATGATTGGTCAGAAGACCAAACAAGCGCTATACATACTCAAGTCCATTTACCATTCATTTTAAAGGCACACAGTATCTGTGGTTGTAATACATTTCTTCAGATATTTCATTCACACCAAAACTAATTAAGTCTCTCACAAGCTAAAGTTAGCGAGCTGGTCACACAAGAATGGCAGAGAGAACTAAGTACTTAACAAGTACAGCTATGCCAAAAATTCACTGTGCTCCTTTCAGCGCACACTATCATGGACTGGTTCTGCAAACAGACTGTTTAAAACATGCATGCAGTCTCAGTGGCATCACCCATGGGTCCCTGAAGACCCTAAACATGGGGGTTGCCATATTGGAAATGCTGACCCTAACTTTCCATCAATCTAGTAACAGGCGGGGGATTCAAGTTGGGCCTTCTTTTAGACGCCTGACGAACAGCTGCAACTCGCCCTCCTGTCAGTGAAATCAGCCAGCCCCTTAATAATGCAAAACTCTTAGCTTCAAGACAATCAAATAAGACGAGTATATTTAAAAAAATCAACCCAAGGACAGTTTTTACCAATTCTTCTTGGACCATTATCTTAAAGGTTATTATAGTAAATACTTGATAAAGGTCACTGATCCGTCAAGAACATAATTAAGAGAAATAAATGTTGACTGTTAGTAGGAAAATAAACACTTTAAATCTGATGTTTTGTTCAGAGGAACTCATCAACTTCTTTGCAGACATTGTCGCTCTATAACATCATTAAATGGTTTCGTACTGCAGTCATAGTTCCGCTGCCTGCTTGGGACCTTTGTCTCTTAAATGTGAGCATATGTCGTTTTCAGGCCACTTTGAGGGATTCTGCAGTTTTCCTCGGGAGGGCAGACTCCTCCCTGACTGTCCATATCTAAGTCAGAACACTGTCACAACCCAAAACTGTCACTCTGCCGTGGCTTGTTAATGTCTTTTACCTAAAAAATATATATATTCTTCAGGGGTGAACAGCCTGCTTTCTGCTTCTCTGGGAGTCCAAAAAAATGCAGTAGTAAAGAAAATTTGTGCCTGACTTTTTAAAGGGACAGATTTGTAGAAAGTCAATGACATTGCAGTTATTATTATGCTTCTGATACATGAATTCACAGCTTTTAATCTGCTCTCATATTGATCAGTGGTAAGTCCTGCAGATGGTGGCCAATCTACTTGATCCACTTGACTTTCAAAAGCCTCATTGTGGGGGTCACTCATGGCTGAGAGGCACAGCACTCAAGTCGTTCAGACGCACACACATAACTCTCTGTTTTTTCCTCGCCTACAGCTGGATGACGAGACAGAGGAGTGGGGGGGGGGGGGGGGGGGGAGAGAACATAGTGATTGTGGAAAGGTCCAAAGGAATAAATAAGGAGAAGGACAGACATTTGTAGAGACAGAGAGATGTCGTATCGTGACACAGAGGAGGGCAGTGAGAGAGCGGGAGAGACAGGAATGACATTAGAGAGAAACAGATGCCTGAGGATAAGGAAAAGGGAAACAAGGGTGGGTCAGAGAGAATAAAGGGGGGGGGGGGGGATGGGAGTCCAATTTGGGTGTCTGCCATAAGCTGATTCCTGCATTTTAATTGCACCAAGGCTGAGCTTAATGTGATTGCCTTTGCTTGTCATCAGAGAGAGAGACAAAAACTGCTCGGAAACTTAACCATACACAAAGTTATTCTTCGTGACAGACTAATTCAATCTGACAAAAAAAAAAAAATTGAGGCACTAAAAAAAGACCTATAAATCCCTAAAACCCAAAACAAAACAGCGTGCCGTGTAGGTAGGTCATAAAACGAGGGCAGGGGAAGGAGGCAGAGGAGGAAAGTGCATGCAAACAGAGGCACCATGGGACATTTCAGCTGCGACTTTCAAAATGCCGCTTCAGCAAATGGCAGCTGGCGGAGTGCACAGTTCGCTGCCTTGCTGCCCTGGATTAGCCTCTGGGTCAGACTGTTAGTGGAATTACAGCAGCTAAATACAATTAAGGCCTATCAACATTTGGACTTAAAGGTCACCGTGCCGGGGTAACACAGAGGCATTAAAGATTTGGCTCAGTCGAACAGTTGCGTTTAATAAGTAGCTTTTCCATTTCTAAAGCTTCCATTGGCGAGCAGAAAATAAACATGTTACCTTGCCTGAACCCGAAGTTAACATGAGTGTGTGCATGTGTGTGTTTGTGTGTGTGTCTTGGTGTACTAAAGAGGTTCATAACATCAGACAATTCTGCCATCAACTAAATATCTGAACATATGGTTTTAAAGCTAAAAATATGGAGGGGAAAAAGAGAGATGTGTGTGTGCCGACGTGTGTGTGTGTGTGTGTGTGTGTGTGTGTGTGTGTGTGTGTGTGCAAAGGTGTGATCCAGATCAGAGGGCAGCGTGTGATGTGACACCGAGGTCCCCAAGGCTCTCCTGGTTTTATTTTGGCCCTGACCGTTGACCTGCAGGTCAGTGCTCTGCAGCAGGGAGAGGGTCAGATAGGAGCAGATAGGAGCTAATGTGTAAACCGGGCAGGAGAGAGTGTGGAGATAAAAGAGAGAGAGAGAGACAAAGAGCTTGATGTTTGACAGAAAAGTGTTAGGGTGGTCATTATCGCTTTAACACCATGGTAGCAACTTTTACGCTAACTTGTGTTTCTGGACTGTTCTCTCCCATTTATCATGTTGGTTTTTGGGAACCAATGATTTCTGCTTTTGTTATTTACAAGCTGGAAAAATAAGCATTAAATCCAAACATGTTAGTTTATGCTGGCGCTGCTGGGCACGACCAAGTCGGGTGACGGGTGTGCACCACTGGAGGTCGAGTCACCAGCAGTCGACTTGTTAGCTTAGCTAGCAGGCTGAAATGAACAAGCTATAGTTACGCTATATACACTTCATATACACTCAACTAGCTCATTGAAATGTTACCGGAATATAATAACGGTGGTGAACTCTGGTTGTTCCTAACAGTTCCTAGAATCGCCACTGATCATATAAGTTCAAATTTCAAGTATTGTTATCCATT